AGTCAATTCTATCGTAATAAGTTTATATGGTGACAGCTGGTTACTAGACTTATTGTGGTGATCACGCAGCAAGAAATATAAATTTCTAATCACTATGTTGTACACCTGAAACTGATATAATATTGTATGTCAACTATACTTTAATAAAAAATAAAAATAAATAAAAGGGGAAAAAAAGTCTAGCTTTGTCTTTTAGATATGAAAACCTTATAATATCTATCACCTAAAACCCTCTAATACGCTCCTTTGGATAAAAACTGAAATTTCTTGACATGGTCTAAAGGAACCTTCATGATCTGCCCCTGCTCACCTTTTCAGCTTTACCACAAGGCACTCATCCTCTTGCTTTCTTCGATCTTTCCCACTGGCCTGATTTTAGTTTTCAAATGCACCAGCCCTGCTCTAGCTTCACTGTCACCTCACCCCACTCCTGCATGCTAAGCTCTACTCATCGCTGAGGTCGAAAAGTAAATTTTGTCTCAGCAGTGAAATTGTCATCAGCATCCTACACATCCCCTTCCATACCTTTTGTTTCAATCACATCGAACTAAATGAGGTTACCCACGATCGGGACTCTGGTGTTTCTCATTGCCATGCCTGTGTCCTTGTGAGTCTTTCTGCCACAACTCTCTTTCTGCTTGGTCTGCTCAGATAATTCCTATTTGTCCTTTAAGAATCAAAGCAGTATTGCCTCCTCTTGAAAACTTTCCGTAAACCTCTTCCTATCCCTGTTCTACTTTCCTCCCAGTTTGTGTGCAATCTCTCTCTCCTCCACGCTTTCTTAATATCCTACATATGCCTCCGCCACAGTGCTTTTCAAAATCTGTTGAAAGAGATTGTTTTCCTGTCCTTCTCTTTAATTGGGGGTAGAAATGGGGTCTATTTGGTTCTTCTCTGTATTTCCAGACCCTAGCAGAGTGCCTCGTGCGTATCGAGCTCTCTTTCTGTGCTTGATGATGAATATATGACTGTATAGAGCTCTTGCCCCTGTTAAGCACTGATATGAGGATGTGTGGACACTGGTACTTTATAGGGAGAGCTTTGTCCTTGGAAAAAGGAGTTACATTAATCAAGTAGAACAAATCATATTGGATGCTATGGCCAATGCAATTAAGCCTTCATCGAACTGCCTGACTTTGGCTCAAGATGAGAACATTGATGAAACGCCTCTCAACCGCCAGGGTTGGGGTCTGCTGAAATGGGCAATTACTGCTGTGAACAATCTATTACTTGTACTGTCAACAGTGTTTTTTCTCTCTTGAAATGCAGAGCGAAGTGGAAAATGCTGTGGGAACTCAGTGGCATTTAATTTACTGATATGATGTGGTAGAAGCCATTCTTTAGCCTGGCTGTGACAGCAATAGTGAGGGGACAAGCATTCGGCTGGAATGCACTAGGGAAGCCATTTTAATCACCCTGTGCCTCACTCTTCCCATATGTAAAATTAAACTGATGAAAGAGAATGCTTGTCACACCATGGTGGTTACTATGGTGATCGATGACTGAGACACAATGTTGTACTGTCCCTAGCCATGCCAATTTCTTTTGATTCTGCTTGTTATTCCACAGAGGGAGAGATGACTGGCAGGTCTCATTTTCTTCTTTGAATTGAGAAAGTTGCTAGCAGTGGCATGGAAAGGCTATTATACTGGCATCTGTGCAGATAACCTGTACTGGGATATGCGCTCTCGGTGAGAAGCAAGGTTGTCCAGTCTTTCTGTGTAATGCATACATAGAAATATTTGTATAGCATGCTCGGGTGAATGGATGAGCTATTTATAACCAGAAAGGACCTGGTTTGAGACTGTAGGTGCTCCAGGTTCTGCCCGGGTGCTCCAAGGGTCAAAGAGATCCATATTTTGGTGTGCAGCACCAGTCAGAAAGCTCTGCTGTGGATTTGCTTGATCACGTGGCTACTACAAGGGCCATATTCCCAGCTAGAGGCCCCCAGTAAACACCATCAGATGAACTTCAGCCAGGCTAGAAGCATAGCTAATATAAGAAGGTAATGGTCGGGGGCGGGAGGCCTGGCACTGGGTAAGATTGTTGCAGAGCTCTTCCAGTACAAAGACAGCTAGTTCTCCCCCAGGGCCCTGAAGGCCCAAACTGCAAAAACACAGAACTCACTCTTGGCTAACTTAAGGAAAAAAGATACATAGGAAAGGCTACTAGGCACTTACAGAGGCTCTGCGATGACAGTCAGTCTTGGAGACTCTACAGCCAGGGAAGTGTCAGGCCCAGGAGGCTTCTGTGGTGCAGATCCCACCACTGCTGCACTTGGACACCACCCTTGTGAGGCCCAAGAACAGCACTGGAAGTCCAGCTGCACCTGCTGATGACTGGGCACTGCCCTGCTGCCCCTAAAGTGTCCCTGGGTGTTTTCACCACCACCTCACCCCCAAAGGGATCCTTGTGGCCTCTCATGTTTTTGTCTTCTGAACAGAAGGCACGTGCAGAGTGTAGGTCCTGTGTCTGTCTGTTATCTGCAAGACAGGCTGAGCGAGCAGGGCCTGCCTTCTGCCACAGCAGGCGAGATGCACACACGGGACATGGGCCCCTTAGGGAGGCTGTTCCAGATCAGCCAGTGGGCCACAGTGTGAGCAGCACCCATTGTACCTCTCAAAGCCACATGTCATCATCTTCCCCCGTAAAGCAGTCCCTTTCTGGTCTCTTCTGGGTCAGGGGGTGCCACTGTCACTCTCCCAGTCAGATGGTTTCAGAAGCCTGGGAACCGGACTTGGTTCCTTGCTCTCCTTGCGCACTTCCATCCAGACCACCTTCAAGTCAACCATTCCGCCTCCTAAATTTCTCATTAATTTGTCCCAATTCTGCAACCGCACTCACTGGGTCTATGTCCATTGGCACCTCTCACCTAGGCAAGCAAACCCTTTCTCCTGGCTCCCATCCTCAGGCTGTCCCACACCAGCTCTTCCTCCCTGCTGTGCCTGCTGATATCTGGTAAAGTGTCATCCCTCTGGCTTCAACCCCGTGGTGGGTCCCCACTGCCTTCAAGGGAGAATTCAACCCCCAGATCTCATGGCAACTTTTATGTTGACATTTTTGACTCTCACACATTGAGTACTCAGTAATATTTTTATTCTCTAACAGAAGAGTAACAATAAAATAGCTAAGGTGTACTGAATGTACACTAAATATGCCATATAGACAGTCCTCACACAGTATCCTTGGAGATAAGTGCCATCTCGCAGAGCAAGACATGGAGACCATAGCAATAATGGCGGCCTCAGCATTCAAAATAGGTCTGCCCATCCCCCACGCTATGCCTTCGACCAGGCCTCTGTCAGCTGTCTTTACTGAATTGCTTGCAGTGACTTGAATAAGACTGTGCTTACTTCCACTTCCATTCGTTTGACTGTTCTTTTCCTCCTGTTTCAGATGGTGCCCTGCTTTGTTCCTCTGCCTGAAGCTACTTTGCTGCTCACTCACGATTCACGTCTTCTGAGGGGCCTCCCCGCTATCCCCAGCCCACCACCAAGTGGCCCGCATCAGAGCCCCTTCTGCAGCACCTACAGCCCTCCTGGCCGGCACTACTTCCCTGGCAGTCGGCCCGTGAGAGCTGAGAGCAGGGATGCGTTAGCAGGCATGCTGACTCAAGCTGGTCTGTGTCACATTCAAGGGTTCCTGCAAAGGCTCATGGGTTCCTCCTGCCACCTGTAAGCCCAGATTGGCATCAGCATGGGAATGTGTGGGCCACCTTCCCCAAAGAGGAACCAGGGGAGGAGTGGACAGCTACCTCCCACTCTCTTGTCCCATCAGCCATGCCTCAAGAGAAAATATAACCCCTACTGTGCTAAGTAGTACATCTCAACTTTTCACCCTCAAGAGGCTGCTTTCTGGAGCACTTCTAATGGGTTATCTGCTGGTTGACTAGATTCTAAAGAGTTGTGTACTTTATTGCTCCAAAGAATTTACGTTCTTTTTGTTCTTTAAGCCTTACATTGAGAAGAAGGGGGATGACTTCTGAGTGAATAAGATTGGGTGGGAAAAGGAATGCTGTGTCATAGAAATGAAATTCAGGGTTACATCTTCCTGTCCTGGGTTCCTTTCACTGCACAGTGACAATGTTGCTGGTGCTACGGTTCCAGAAGGTTACTGGCGTGGGTTCCTGGGAGTGTCAGCGCAGTGTTAAGCTTCTAAACAAGATGTGCTTACCCTCCTTATGCCCGTAAGATTCACCCCTTAATTTCTCTCCATTTCATACAACACTGGTAGCAAACCAGTGTTTCCTTAAATTATGTCAGCCTGTCTACTGATAATGCTGGCAGGAAGGTGAAGGATCAATGACTATCACTTCTTCTAGCTCCGAGCATGTCAGAAAGGATCTGTGTCTCATGACCAGCCCTGTCCTGTGAAGTGCTTCCTCACTGGGAAACCCTTAAGTGCCTGGTACACGATGGCCTATGAGGCCAGACCGCAGCCGCCTCACAGGGGCATCTGAAGGCGCCTCTGTTAATCTTATTAGTCCACACACTCCTCTTGCTGCATGAAATGTATAAATATTTGTAAATTCTCTAAATCCCTTTCAGCTGCCAGGATAGGGTGATATGATAAGTCAATACATTTCCTGGAGATCAGTAGAGGTTGATGATTTTGATAAAGAAATACAACTCCCCTCCTTGACCCCCCTCCGCGCCCCCACTGCTGCCCCAGCTTAATACCTGGACCAAAATGTTTCTACAATTTGTGTACGTGAGACACCACCCCCTTGTCAAATTTACCAGAGCAGTGAGGTCCCAGGAAACCTGGTACCTACCTGTGGGGACGGTGCTCCGGGCTTGGCTGGCCACTGGCTTGGCTGAGTGACGCAGACAGCTGCCCATCAGGGGAGAGGCTGCCTGGGCCTGGGGTGAGTTGAGGGGAAGGGCGGGCCTCGTGGCAGTGGAAGGGCTGCTGAGACTTCCACCGCCTGGGTGGATGGTTGTGGCCATCCCTTTGGCCAGTGGAGACCCTCCAACCATGTTATTCCAGGGAGCCCTGAGGAAATAAAGCAGAATGAATTCAGATGAGGGTGCGGATGAGACCATACCATACGGGCCACTGATAAAGGTCTGCTCTTACATACTGGCTCTGAGAGGTGACACCATGAAGTCCAGGAAACAAATCCTAAAACAGTGCCAAGCTAATCCTTGTAGGCAAACAATGCCCAGAGCTCCAGCTGAGAAGGGCACTCTTTGTAAAACCTTCATGGGGGCTAATTCTCAACGTGAATATTCAAGAAATAGCAAAAAACACCCCAAGAAACAGAGGACTGATTCTAATCAATGAAATATTTTGTACCAGAGCTACTGCTTTGACTCATTCTAACAAACAGCTATGTGTCCCCAAACACATCCAGAAAGAACAAGTGACTCAGTCATATCCCATGAGGTTTGGACACATCTGGCATGTGGCGGGAAACAGTGACAAGGACCCATTCCCTCTGGACATGGCTGCCTCCTCATCTCTGCCCGCCTCTGGGAAAGGGCACAGACAAACCACATCCTGCTGAGGATGTCAGGGAACTTGCAGTTTCATACCAGAAAAGAGATGCCCTTTCACCCCAAGGTTTCCACATGAAACCAGTTTAGAGTGTTTAAGAAATACAAAAGGAAAACAGCAACTTGGAAAATGGGCTTTTAACCCTTTCACCCTACACATACTTGCACTAAAGCTATACTCTGCTGTGGAGGCGCAGAATACAGCTTCCATGAGTCCAGTTTCAGGAAATCAGAATGTCATCCCTTAGTCCAAGAGCTCAGTAAGCTCCCCGCTGTCCCCTCAGGATGTTAGTTGTGAGATACCAGAAGCCACACGCGGGAGACAACAGGCACTGCCAGGCCTGTGGCTCCTGGGCCAGGCCAGAGGTCCCCCTCTCCATGTGGCTTGGTCTCATTGGGCCATGACTTCAGATGGAGAAGATCACCTGCAGAGTCGACTCAGGCTTCTGCAGAACAGCTGTGGGGAAAAGGGCCTCCTGGCAAAGGACGCGGCTGTCCAGGGGCCACAGGCAGCGCCTTCCTTCCTTAGACCTTAAAGCTGCCTGAAGTCTTCTTCTAGCAAGGACCTCTGGCAGCTGGCCAGCCAAAACCATGAAAAGGAATTTAAAATCACATCTTCCACCTGTTGAAGTCACTTTTGCCCTAGGAAGTAATTTTTAAAAATTAAATAAAGTGGGCTCACAAATGAAGGGCTTCCCAGGAAGATCTGGTGGTGGACCTGAGGCTCCAGGCCAGCGCCACCTCTCAGGCGCTTTGAGAAGTATGGACCATTTCATTTCTTTGCACAGCAGTCTCATTCCAAAGAGAGCATAAACCCAAGGGTCATGTCTTCAATTTATTTATATGTCCTAGAGTGTTAATCTCATGAACAGGCTTTCATGAGTGGGACTGGCTGAAATAAAATCAAGCAGCGGGAACTTCATCTCAGTGGAAAATTCTTGGACAACCATGGATAACATTTTTAGTGAATTTTTAAAATTGCCTTTTCTATTTTATAAAAATGATATCATTGAAAATTTGCACCACATAGGAAAGCACAAAGAAGAAAAAAAATTAATAACCAATAATGCTATCACTTAATAACAACGCTTAACTTTTGGGAATATGTCATTTTTCCTTTGCATATATGCATATGTGTGTGTTTTGTGTATAATGGGTCTGTATGTGACTGTACACATGCACACTGCTGTACTCACACTTACACAGGCACACGCCCACTCACACCTGCACACACGTGCATATACACACTCTCGAGATCTCACTCCTCCTGGTGACTTTGCATCCCCGCTGCTACTGCCCTGATGCCAGCTTGTTCTGTTCCCATCCTCTCCCCTTGGCAGCCAATGTCTGCTCAGGGAAAGACAAGCCAACATAATTCAGAGGGTGCAATGCCTTGTTCAAGGGGACTCTGAGCTCACAAGGCTGAACACCACAGGCAGGAGTGCCCTGGCTGCCTTCTGAACTGTGTTTTTGGCAGCCCAGCCACAGCATGACCTCCAGGCAGTGTCAACACCTGGAATGTGGGGGTGCATCCTCCCTCCTCTCTCAGGCAGTGACTCTGGACTCACCTAGAGGCAGGTGTCACGTAGTTTCCCGGGAAAACGCCAGAGAGCCCAGTCCTCAAGGATGTCCCCTTGAACCAGCCGTCCTGACACTTCTCAAGGACGCGGTACATCTCACCCTTGCGCAACTCCAGCTCATCGTTCTTCTGGGGCTTGTAGGCGTAGAGCGCCAGGTACCTGCAGAAAGAAGCAGAGCCTAGGATAAAAGGTGGCTGGCAAGGTGGGCATAGGACCACCGGGTGTCACCCGGGTCACACATGAGCTCATCTTCAGATGAACCCAACCTAAAAAGAGTACCTGATGCCTGTGTGGAGGGGTGGAGCTTGCACACGAAGCATCTAACCTGCTCTTCACAATCAACCAATGAGGTGAGGAAGGGCCCAGCACTGCCAGGCCCAGGGAGGCACACACAAGGAAGGGGTAGAGCTCTGCCTCATGATCCTAGAGCCCTCAACCCTGCACTGACTCGGGGAGGTGCACACCTGACAACACCTGTCTGACAGCTCAGTAAGGCTATATGATTCATCCAAGGACCTGGAGGTTGTGTCAGAAATAGATCCTGGGGCCAAGTCTTTGGGCTTAACTTTTTTTTTTGTTTTTTTAAATCTATTGTCCACCCTGTCTAAGACTTGATGCTCTGGGCAAGAGAAAACTTTAGAAAAAAACAAGAGCCAGTTGAGAAAATCTTGGGCTGGGTTTTTCTCATTTAGTCTAACCCAGCCCTTGCTCATCCAATCAATCTGAGCAGGAAGGGGCCTCAGAGGCCCTTTTAAAAGAAAAGGCAGTCTAGTTAGGGAATTTTTGGTTGCACTCTTCCTTGCAATATTTGTACCATGACTAATTATTTAAATGCTACTTTTCTTTTAAGCCTATTTAAAGACAAGGAAAGAACAAAGTTAGTGTTGTAAATCTTGGCTTAGGGTCTAGAAGTTGTGCCTCGATGTTAGTCCATGAGCTGGGGCAAGTGCCTCTTGTAAAATACCTGGGGATCTCTCCATCCCCAGCCTCACGGAGTACTTATGAGGACTAAGTAATACTGCAAAGTATTTTGCTACTTTGGTTGGTTTTGAGCTGATAGAATTGTGTTAGGCAACTGTATTTGCTCACAAGACTCAGGCAGAAAAGTTAGTGCAATAAGAAACCAAAGATTTTAGCTGACCCCTTCCCGAGGTCAGGTGGCAGGTCTCTGGGGACTGAGGAGGCTCAGAGACCCCCAGGGCACTCTCCCGACCCTGGGAGGAGCCTTCTTAGTAGGTGAATAAAGAAATGGAACGTCACTCAGTAGCGCTTAAGCAAGAAGATCTAAGAGGCCCAGTGAGGAGTTTGCTAGAACAGAATGAGAAGCCTGTAAAGATTTCTTGGCCTTAAAATATAGTAAAATAAGGTCAAATCAAATCAAACCCAATCTGCTACTCTTTTCCAGCATCCTAAATCTATACACCCCAAGTACCTCCCTTTGATTCAACAAAGACCTTGTTTATTTCCTTTGTTTACAGGTTCCCCTCTTCCCTTAGGGGAATCCGGAGAAAGACAGGAAGGCTTACATCTGGACTTCTTCCCTTTTGAAAAGATAAACACTGACAGGAAGCAGTCCTGGCTTCAGGGAGGATAAAGCAAGTCCTCACAGGAGAGGACCCTTCCCTCGTCCTGAGCATTAAGAGTGACGTTTTGCAGTGATGCCCACATGACAAATAAAGAGAATGCAGGCCATAATAGTCCAGTTTTCACATTCGATGACTCTCAGGAAGCTCTCTGATGGCGACAGAGGAATTACTACAAATGGAAAAGTCACTTGAAAACTGCATTTATACCACCAATGTGGGCGTAGGGCTACCTCACGCAGGAGGAGGTGGGCGGTTTCCACACAGCTCAGGCTGAGGCAAAGAGAGAATGAAAAGAAAAGGCAAAAAAAAAAAAAGGGAATCCGTGGGAAGTTTGTGAACCAAAAAGAATGATGCAAGACTTTTTGTGTTTGCTCCCAAGGAAATATAATTGAAGCATAAGCCCTGGTTCGGTTTGCCTCATTCTGTCTCTTCATGATGTGAGAATAATCTTTTTGATTCTGTGGCTGGTGAGCACACAGTGGTAGGAGCAGAATGCCAAACTGGGGGTGATGGCTCCTTGGAGTCATGTGCGTGCAACACAGACCTCACCAAACAATCACGTTTCCTTAGTCGAGGGTGGGGCAATGATGTGCTGCCTTTGTTCCATGGGGGCCCTCATCCTCTGGCTTGTTAAACAAGGATTGGGGACCAAGTTTCTGTCTCTCTCATTCTTGGTCCTGTGCAGAGGTTCTGGCGGGCACAGAACAGAGAGGCACATGGTCCCCTGCTGGCCTGTTCCTCCAGCTCTACTTCTCCACCCCCGGCCCAGAGGAACGAGTCCCATGAGCCTCCCTGGGCCTCTCTAGTATCCCTCCTCCCTCTGGGCTGCTGCTGGCCACTGGCTGTTGAATGCTTCCCTTGAAAGACTGGGCCACTGGGCCATCACCTGGGTCCTGGAGTGGCCCTCCTCAGGTTTCTTGTCTGCCTGAGCAGCATCTTGCACATGTGGCCTCAGATCACAGAGCGCCTACCAGGGTGAACACTGCGGCTCAGATTTCCTCCGAACCAAAGCTCTGCTGTGTTGTTTCAGAGCTCTGCCTTGTTGAAGACCCTTTTCCAAAGGCTCCTTTCACACATGGAGATTTTGAGAAGGGCTGGACTCCTCAGGAAGGGTGTGTTGAAGAGTTTAAATTCCCTTCTCATCCTCTCTCATCTACCACTGCTTACCTCATTCGTAGGGGATCTGAGGAATTTTAAGCAGCTATGTCCTCTCGTGACCAACCATACATCCCTTAGTAAGACGTCGGCACCTGCGAATCTGTGGCCACATCTATCTCCTGAGGAGCCGAGTGACAGTGTGGGGGGAAATCAGAGTCCAGCCCAGAGGAAGGGGCCACATGTATACATATCTAGCTGAGGGAACCCAGCAAACCTTGGATCAGGGAAGCTTTACCCCAAGGTGTTTCCTGACTATATCAAACTCCTTCTTGCCTCAGGACCTTTGCATTTACTTTCCCCACTCTCTGGAGCTCTCATCTCTCAGCCTCCTGCCTACCAATCCCCACTACATTGTATACACCACAGTGCAGAGCTTTTTAACTGTTTTGTTCACTGCTCTATCCCCAGTATCTAGAATAGTGTCTGGCACATAGCAGGTTCTCAATAAATATTTGTTGAAAAAAGAATAAAATAGGGGCTCTGGTTTTGAGACTTAGATTAAGATTGCTGAAGGAAAGTGCATGTGTGTGCGTGTGTATGCGTGTGTGTGTGCATGTACTGGGGATTGTTTCATACTGCCCCAAGGTCTGCCAGCTGACCTTGAATATAAAAATAAGCACAGAGGAAACGGGTTTGGTCTTTCCTCCTTCGGGAGGTCACAGTGAAGAGTTGGCACCATAAAAGGAGGAGGCGAAAGCCAAGGGGAAGTGCTCAGGGAATGATAAAAGAAAACGCAGAGAGAGGGGGCTGAGAGCTGCCAGTCTCCACACAGGAAGGAGAGGAAAGGAAAAGGAGAAGCAGAGGACGAAGACAGTGCAAGGGCAGAGGAGGCAGGCATCTGCTCAGGAGGGAGCTGAGCTGGTCTGGAAGCACTGGGACAGAAGAAAGCAGCGAAGGAGATAAGCCGGGGAAGCGACCTAGGTACCTGAAGGGGTGAGAAGTGAGTCTAAGACGGGGGAGAAACTTGGAGTTCAAAAAGCTTCTATAGCAGAGATAACGAACCAGCCCAAAGAGGCGTCGAGGCTCCCTCTGACCAGGGCACTGTGGGTCCTAGAAAAGGGTCACTGTGACTGGGGCTTCTTTCTTTGCTTCTCCACCTATCCTTCAAGCCTGTGGGACCTGGGTGACTGCAGCAGGACCATCCATCTGCGTGGAGTGTGAAGCTATGGATTCAAGAGCTGTCCCTGCTAGAGAGAGGAGAGGCCCCTGGCGACACGTGTACAAGGCCCATGTTGGCTCAGCAGCCCAAGGACTGGGCCCTGCACCGCCCACACCTGGCTCCGTGAGCTGTGTCCATAGCATCCAACTTCCACAGTGGGAAATTCACACTCCAGATTTAGGAAACAAGGCAAGTGCTAGCAACTGTGATAAATGCCTAGGCAACATTTGAGTTGTTGAACGGTCATGTTGTGAGCTTGGGGGAGTAGCCAACAAATCATTGAAAGTTAATTGTCTTTCGGGAATGAGCTGATTATCTTTCACTATATATTTTAGGATTCTCATGCCATTTAACAGGACAAAGACTCTGCCTTCATTTCTCAGCAAAAAAGGGGAGTTTCCATCCTTCCCCATCCAAAGAAAAATAAAGATTATTTAGATTGCGGGCCTCAAGTCATCTTTAAGACAGAAATGCCTTCTTCTAAAATTCCATTTTTATTTTACATAAATGGAGACATGCTTGTTAATGAAATAATAAAGGCAGGAAATGGGCAACCAAGAGGTGAACTTGGCTAAACATCTGCTGCCTGATTTGTGCGACGTGGGCTGAGTGGGGCCACACTGCTACGGACCAGGGTACTGGTGCCACCCCCGCTTCCCGGGTCACATTGGCATAGGCTCTGCTGAGACAGCATGTCGCTGAGGCTAGCTTGCAGAAAGAGACAGATCTGGATTTCATAGTACACCATGCCTCTTTACGCGGGAAATCTGCATTCTTAACAGTGAGAAGCTGCTATTTCTTTCGCAATTTCAGCTATTCTATTTATTAGATGCCCAGGGATGCAGACATCCCTCAGGGGCTAAACAGCAAGCAGGGCAGCCGGGGGTCATCTCCAAGGATGCCATCACCCTCAAGGGACAACAACATACCTCCCCCTCAAAGCACAGGGCTCAAAGTCATCAGAGTCAGAAACCTTGATTTTACCTCATTTATAAGGAGTTGCTGTCTGAGGGCCCTCAAGATAGTCATGAGAGCTCTACCTCCACCACGGGTGCCATGGGCCATGCGCTGAGGCAGGATCAGAGTAGAAGGGCAGGAAACCGGCATTTGCCACATGTCACATATGGTCTCACCTATGCCCCACATAACTCTGAGGCTGGGTGGATCCCCCCATTTCATAGCTGAGGAAACTAAGACTCAAAAAGATTGAGAATCTGTGTTCACTCAGCGAGTGAGAGACGGGCCTGGCTCTGTTG